ACGTCCCCTGCCCCGCGCTGCCGCCCCACACGGCCCGGAGCCTGGGCCCCTGGCTTGGTCTCAGCCTGCTCCACTCTGCCTGGGGAGCAAGACCCCTCCCCAGCGGTCTCCCACCCAGACAGCACCTCTCCGGCCCAGCAACCCCTCTCCATCCGGCTCAAGAGCCTCCATCTGGCTCAAGAGCCAGCACAGAAATGCAGCCCCCTCTGGGGTGGGACCCAGCAGCTGCTTCCCAGCACGCAGCACTGGGGCGCCAAGGGGGCAGGCCGCAGGTGACGGAGAAGCCCGTTTCAGCCGAAAGGGACATGGGGCTGGATTCCAAGGGGGGGCCTGCTCCTTTGAACTGTGCCGGGCCCTGCCCCCAGCCCCTTCCCTCTGTAGCCTTCTAGCACAGAGGGGCCGGCGTCTGGATTAGAGCTGGGACGGGGGGAGCCCAGGGGCCGGAGCCACCCCCGCGACAGTGTGCAGCACCCCCTGCTGGCCACAAGGGCTCGGTGCAGAGCAGCAGCAGGACGTGCCACCCAGGGCCAAGTGATGCCCAGGTAGCCCAGCCCTTCTCGGGGCACGGGCAGGCCCCCACGGCAGGCAGCGGTTGGGGGGAAGCCTCGGCCACTGGCTGGCCGGGCGGCTGTCGGGCTGGGAACGCTCTGTGTGGGACATTCCTCACTCTGCCCGGGCAGCCCTCCCAGCCCCGCCCCGGGCCCTGGTGCCAGCAGCAGCCTTCCTGGCATCTAGCGCCGCCGTGGGTGGCCTGGCGGCTTTGGCAAGAGGACTGCAGTCCCAGGGAGCAGGCCAGACCCCCCTGCAGCTGCGGGAGCCGGGCCGGGGAGAGGCACCGGGGGGTTTTCTGCACCGGGATTCCAGCTAGGAGGGCGTTGCCAGCAGCAGCTGGCTGGGCCCAGCCTGGCAGCAGAGATTATGGGCTGACTCACGTGCCCTCCCGTGGCCCCGGCTGGTGGGCAAGCCACCAGGCTGGGGGCAGCCAAAGGGCCAGTGCCCTTCCCCCCCAGCTCAGCACCACTGCCCACGGCAAGAGGGCCGCGTCCTGGGCGCTTCACCCCCCCAGAGGTTCACTGACCCCCGGGCAGGAGCTCACAGGGCAGCTGCTAACGACCCCGGCACACAGGGCTGGGTGGTGGCTGGGGAGCTGGGGGCTGTCAGGGTGAGGGGAGCCCTGCAGCTCCCAGGCCAGCAGCCCCAGACACCCTCCAGGCACGGCCGGGGGCTGAGGGGCCCTGTGGGGCTGCTGGCCCCTTGCTGACACACTGACCCGACCAAGGCCCGGCCTTGCCCTGTGCCAGGGGCATGCAGACAGCACCCTGGGGTGGTCCGGCAGTTGGGGGGCCCCTGTACCAGCCCAGCCTTTGGGAGCTCCCAGCACCTCACGCAGGCCTGGGCCCAACCCCCGGCAGCAGCCCCAGCAGGGGGGGGGCCCCTGTACCAGCCCAGCCTTTGGGAGCTCCCAGCACCTCACGCAGGCCTGGGCCCAACCCCCGGCAGCAGCCCCATGGGACAGAAAAGGGAACCAAGGCAAA